AATGCACTGACCCACACTATTGCCCTCTCTACTCTCAACTTCTGTGGTCCCAATGAGGTCAATCATTTCTACTGTGACCTACCACAGCTCTTCCCGCTCTCCTGCTCTAGCACCCAACTCAATGAGCTGGTGCTCTTTGTTGCTGGGTTCATAATGGCAGGTACTTTTCTATTTCTCATCATCATCTCGTACATCCACGTGGCAGCAGCAGTTCTACGAATCCGTTCAGCGGAGGGCAGGAAGAAGGCTTTCTTCACATGTGGCTCCCACCTCACTGTAGTTTGCCTCTTCTATGGGACAGGAATCTTCAACTACATGCGCTTGAGTTCAGAGGAGGCCTCAGACCAGGATAAAGGGGTTGGGGTCTTCAACACTGTCATCAACCCCATGCTGAACCCACTCATTTATAGCCTCAGAAATTCTGATGTTCAAGGTGTTCTGTGGCAGATACTTGGAGGAAAGTGGTCACTAACCTGAGGAGGGATAAGATCCTTCCTTACTCCCCTTTTTTTTCCTAAGGAATATTTTGTTTAGCATTTGTCCTACAAAAAAATACTATCTAGTTCAGCCATTAATTAACAAATAGTTATTGAATTACTTCTATGGTATAAACACTATTCTAGGGTGGTGAACAAAATAGACAAAAGTCTTTGTACTCATTCAAGTCATGTCATAACAAAGAAATACAAAAGAAATGTAATAAATAAGCATCATATAAGGTATATTGCATTGTTATAAGAGTTATAAAGATAAAAAATAAGATGGGGGGTACAAAGTTAGTTTCTAACAAGCCAGTCCCTTAGCAAGTTGCTACTTTGCTTTTGACTCTGCTCATTTCTGGGTAGAGTTGAAGCCTTGGAAGTCCTGTAGAACTGGGCAACATCATCCTATGGATAAAGGCCATTCAGGTAACCCAAACCTAGGTCTCCAAGACTATTACTGTAACATTCATTTCTTTTAAGGAATTGAAATTCCTTACAGTACAAATTGCAGAATGTTATTTTTAAGCCCTGTGTCTATTACCGACTATCATTTTCTTTTTTGTTTTTCACCTCTAAGAAAATCAGCTCCTTATTTTCACTGGTACACAATAATCTCACAAGATATGTGTAGTGGTTGCAAATCGGGCTGCGAATCGCAAGGTCAGCAGTTTGAAACTACCAGCTATTCTACGGGAGAAAGATGAGGCATTCTACTCCTGTAAAGATTTACAGCCTCAGAAACCCTGTACAGGATTACTATGACTCAGAACCGACTCCATGGCACACAGCCACAGGTAGCTATAGAGAGGAATACAGCCACTAAGTCAAATTGTGTTGATACATATAGGATACATCTTAAGCTCAAGAAAATAATGCTTGATCTCCTCTGCCATGTCTTTTGGTCTTATTGACATTCAACTGAGTCTTTGGAAAAACAAGTTTTATATTTTAACTGTTACTCAGAATTTTTAATGTAGAAGTCCCAATACAACCATCTCCTCCAATGTCTTATCTTTCTCCTCCAAACCTCCAAGCTCAGAAAATGTGTATTTATAAATACAGTCCCTGAGATTTATGCCTTTTTCTATTTTTCCCTTATCAGTATATCAGTACAGTCCATCCAATAGCATTTCTTCATATTAATATTTCTTCAGCTTTCAATCCATTCCTTCCTTACTGACTGACATATGTTGTCTTTCCAAATCCCTTTACAAGGGTAATTTCTCCTCATTGCAATTATACTGTCCCTCTGTTGTACCCTCTCTCCTTCTTAAAATTGTCTCTGAACTTGGTTTCTCTGTAGTCTCTTCTTGGGTGTCAAGTTATTGAAAGGCTAACTTGAGATGGGATAATAAAAAGGATTAGACCGTGGAGGATGAGACAGGATTGGCAATAGAACGATGAAAATAAAATAGGAAGATATAGGGTGCAATGGGACAAGATGTTAAGAGAAAGGGGTAAAAATAAGGATAGAAACTAGGGAAGTTCAAGATGAAAGAATGGGGGAGTAGAAAGGATATGAGACTGAGGGGTATCAAACAAGGTGACTTAGGAATGCCGATTTGATCAAAGATGGTGTGGAGAAAGTGAAAGATGAGTAAGTATGGAAATGAGACAAAAATTCATACTTTGAAATTACTTCTCATCAGCAAGTGACCATAAAATCACCAACATCTCCACTGTTATTTTTGGGCCCAACCTTCCTGATATAGAAAAAATAGTCTTAATCTTGCTGAGGATATGATGATTGTTGTTGCTGTTGTGAAGTGCCATCGAGTCAATTCCGACCCATAGTGACCCTGTGTAGGGTTTCCAAGGAGCAGCTGGTGAGCTTGAACCACCAGCCTTGCAGTTCAAACAACTTTGCAGTCTGACACATTAGCCCACAGTGCCACACCAGGACTTCAAGGATATGATGATGGGTACTCATTTTCGCCTTCTGTCTAGAGATAATCGTAGAAAGACAGAGAGTAGGGCTGACAGACAGGAGCAAGAGGGGGAGACTGTGAGTGCTGAAGGACTGTCCTTCCACAACCCACAACATTTTTAAATCCACAAAAAATGGTAAATGTTTTTATGAATGAATAACTTTGAGTGAAATTATAAAAACGTATGAAAATGATCAGCAAAAAATTGATGATAGTCACAACGTTTGGAGAAAGAGAAAATGAGATGGAATTAGGAGTTCAAAAGTCTCTCAACTGTAACTGTACTTTTTCATTTAAATACACACATACACTGTTTGTCATGGGTTGGACTGCATCCCCCAAAAGTATGTATCAGCTAGGCTGGGTCATGATCCCTAGTGGTTTGGCAGTTATGTGATGATGTCATCAATTCTCATGTTATGAGGCATGATCCCCTTTAAATGGATGTACAGGAATTAGGGTGGGATATCACATAGGTCACAGCCCTGATCTGATGTAAGAGAAGTTTCCCTGGGGTAAGGCCCTCCCATCTATTATCTTATAAGAGACAAAAGGAGGAAGAAGCAAATAGATGAACCTACTACCACCAATAAAGCAGAGCTGGGAACAGAGCACATCCTTCTGACCCTGTGCTGGGAAGCCTCTAGACTTCAAAACCCAGGGTAAGGATACAAGAAATCGCCAAGTAAAGCTAGATCCACAGTGGCTGAAAAGAGACAAGAACCTTTCTCCAGAGTCCACAGAGAGAGAAAGCCTTCCCCAAACGCTGGTGTCCTGAAGTAAGACTCCTAGGCTCCTAACCTATGAGAGAATAAAATTTATTTTGTTGAATTCATTCACTTGTGTGTTCTCTCTGTTATAGGTGTTGTTGTTGTTAGGTGACAAATTTGTACCGACTCATAGTGACCCTATGCACAACAGAATGAAACACTCCCCAGTCCTGCAGCAACCTCACAATCATTGCTATACTTGAGCCCACTGCTACTGAAACGGTGCCAGTCCATCTCGTTGAGGGCATTCCTCCTTATCTCTCACCCTCCACTTTAGCAAATATGATATCCTTCTCCAGGGACTGGTCTCACCTGATAATATGTCCAAAGCATGAGAGACTTATGTCTGGCCATCCTGGCTTCCAAGGAGCACTCTGGCTGTACTTCTTCCAACATGGATTGGCTTGTTCTCTTAGCACTCCATGGTACTTTTATTATTCTCCTCCAACACCACAGCTCAAATGCATCCATTCTTCTACTGTTTCCTTATTCATTGTCCAACTTTCACATGCACATGAGGCTATTGAAAATATCATGGCTTGCGTCAGGCGCACCTTAGTCTTCAAACTGACATTTATGCTGTTGAACACTTTAGAGAAGTCTTGTGTAAAAGATTTTACAATTGCAGTATGTCATTTAATTTCTTGACTGCTGCTTCCATAAGTGTTGATATTTGATCGGAACAAAATGAAGCTTCTGACAACTTCAATCTTTTCTACACTTATTTTGATGTTGTTTATTGGTCCAATGGTAAGGAGTTTTGTTTTCCTTACATTGAGGTGCAACCCATAGTGGAAATGATGTCTTTGGATCTTCATTGGTAAGTATTAATAGTCCTCTTTGCTTTTAGTAAACATGGCTGTATCATCTCTATATCATAGGTTATTTATGAGTCTTCTTCCAATCCTGATGCCATGTTCTTGTTAATATAATTCAACTTCTAAATTTGTTCAGCATACCGATAGAATAAGTATGGTGAAAGAACACAACCCTGGGGTATACCTTTCCTCATTTGAAACCATTCAGTGTTCCTTTGTTCTGGTCAAACAACTATGTACAGGTTTCTCATGAGCACAATTAAGTGTACCAGGATACTAATTCTCCACAATGTTGTCCATAGCTTGTCATGATCCACACAATCAAAAACCTTTGCATAAAACACAGGTAAATATATTTCTGGTATTCTCTGCTTTCAGCCAAGATCCATCTGATGTCAGCAATGAAATCCCTCTTTACACATCCTCATGTGAATCTGGCTTGAACCTCTGGAAGTTCTCTGTCATAGTACAATTTCAGTAGTTTTGGAATTATCTTTAGCAAAATTTTACTGCATGCTATATTAATGATATTGTTCAATGATTTCCACATTCTGTTGGGTCACCTCTCTTTGGAATGGTCACAAATAGAGATCTCTTCCACTCAGTTGGCTAGGTAATTGTCTTCCAATTTTTTTAGCATAGATGAATGAGTTCCTCCAGTGATTCATCAGGTGGTTGAAAGATTTCAGTTTGTATGCCATTAATTGCAGAGCCTTATTCTTTGACAATGCCTTCAATGCACCTTGGACTTCTTCCTTCAGGGCTCTTGATCATATGCCACCTCTTAAAATGGTTGAGCACCAACCACTTCTTTTTGAACAGTGACTTTTGATGCTTCCTGCATCATTCAATATTTTGCCCATAGAATCCTTCAGTACTTAAAGTTGAGATTTGAATTTTATCTTTAGTTCTCTCAGCTTTATAAATACTGAGTGTGCTCTTCCCTTTTGGTTTTCTAACTCTAGGTCATTGCACAATTTATTATAATATTTAACTTTGTCTTCTCGAGCTGCCCTTTGAAATTTTCTATTCAGCTCTTTTACCACCTCATTTCTTCCATTTTTAGCATCTCTACACTGGAGAGCATGCTTCAGAGTCTCTTCTGACATCCATACTGTTTTGTTCCATCTTTCTTTTCTGCTTATCATTATAGTTGTTGTTGTTATTATGTGCCGTGGAATCGGTTCCCACTCATAGCGACCCTGTACAGGGTTTCCGAGGCTGTAAATCTTTACAGGAGCAGAAAAGCCTCATCTTTCTCCCGCAGAACAGCTGGTAGCACTAGATAATAAAGACACTGTGGCAACATTTTAAAATTTACTAAAATTGTGAGTACACAAGTGACTTTCCCTCCTTTTATTCTGAGTGTTGGTCTGTGTATTTGTAATAGTCGCAATTTTAAGGTTACAAAGCAAATCTCTGCATATACACCTAAAGTGTGTTTCTACATACTAGTATTAGACTGTGTGTATCCTCTAC